CGAAATAATTAGAAAAAGTTTTACATGTGGAAACGGGCGTTACAGTAAGCCTAAGATACGCATATTATTTGTATGCATGTAAGTGTATTGTGATATATGGTATTGTGGAGGAACTCACTAAGCCTAACGTTTACCCAGTTGTTATAAATATTTTTCAGGTAATTCGTGAGAAGGGAAAGGCTCAACTGTACATACACGCATTCGTAATCATGTTTTTGCATAATGTAATAAATACTCTAATGTAAATTAATATTTTGGAATAATAAAAATGAAATTTTTGGATTGAAAAATCGGGTTACACCCGCATATTCTTGTTTATTCATATTTGAAGATTTGCTAAAGAGTAAATGTGGTGGGACCTCAAGGATGATCTCCCCCACCTTTGGAATCACTTTTAGAATTTTAATGAATTTTATTTTACCTATTTTTTGATTAACCAGTGCCAAGGGAGTAGGATTAATGGGAATAACTCGAGGATAAAGTGGGGTTACGGCTAGGTTCGATGTTTTCTTCACGAGACTCATATTGTAAAGTCATATATTTTGCTTCAAGAAATGAGGGCAAGTGTTTAGTATTTGTTATGAAATCAACAATATTGTATCACAAGGTAGGTAATTGGTGAATGATTTTCATAAAAGTTCAACTTCTTTTATTGGTGAATCAACATCAGTTAAAGAATCGTCTAAGTTATTTTGAGAGAATAAAAATTTTGGTGATGGAATTAGTGCCCTTTTGATGTTTATGAACTTATCTTAGAATTGTAGCATCCTTAACATCTTGTTATTGAACAAGAATTCATTAAGCTTGTCCTATAAGTTCTTTGCTAAACAACTAGCACTAGAAATAATTTGAAGTAAATTAGGGTCACAGGTATTGTAGAACCAAGATTTGAGAAGGATGTCAATGAATTACTAATCCTCATCATTGTCCCCGACCGGTTTTGAATTTCTGTTGATATTATAGGATACATTTGCACCTTTGCACATGTCCAAAAGAATTGACTTTATAATTGGTACTTTTAATCATCCATCATTAGTATGAAACTAAATTGAAAATAAAAATTGGTTAAGGTATAGAGAAGTTGATGGGATGAAGGAACAACATTGGAGGAGGTCACGGGTCAGTCATGGGGTTGATAGGAAATATGAAGTAACAAAACAAAAACTTGTTCTAAGAAATCTTACCTTAGGTAGAGAGATCGTAGAAATAAAACCACTCTAACCTTACCATAGATGAGTCAAGGAAAATGATCTTTGATATGGATACAATATGATCGGAGCAGCAACAAAGGGTTGTGAGGCGGCAATGCAGTCGGCAGCCAAAGAAACGAATCAGAGGTGAGTCGGATATACAATCGAACCCTACAAATGATGGCTTAATAAAATCATGAACATTAAAAATACATGTTGGGGTTTGTGTTGTATTTGTTAGTGTATCCTACGTCGGTGCGACATGATCTTATAAGTGTATATATATGATGGAGTCTCCATTCTCTCCACAATGACACTTTTAGAAAGATAATATTGGAATCCACATATATCTTATATGGTATCAGAGTCGGCGTCCTGCACCCCGTGGTTCAATATTTGAACCGTGCTAAATGAAACTTCCTATATGATCTTTGAGATATTGTATATATTGTATATACTATATAATGAGATAGCAATTGAGTAAATTAACTAATCAATGATCGTTTATTTGATACTAAGGCAAGACATTGAGCATACAGATAGGTGATGATTTTAGTATGAGTTACCAACATTTCAAGATTGTTGACTCTTTGTAGGTTCCATAATACAATATTACAATGGATTATTGAAAGCCCTTTTGCTAGCATGCATGTATAAGTTTATTGTTGTTGTCATAATCATTGCCGCAATCCGAGCTATTTTTCACATGTAAACTAAATTAACCCACTATAAAAATAGGGTTGTGCTATAAGTACCCCTCTTAGCTGATTTTACCCCCCCCCCCTAACATCAATCTAATCAAACTTTTACATTTGATTTGACATCATTTTTTTTTTCTTTTTCTTTTTCTTTTTCTTTTTTTTTGTTTTTTTCCTTTTTGTTTTTTTGTTGTTTTTAATAATAATAATAATAATAATAATAATAATAATATTATTATTTTTTTTTTGTTGGAAAAGCTAACCACTTGGAACGATTTTAAAAAGATTTCCATATTGAGAAATATTACTATTCGTTTATTTTTATTATTATTATTATTATTATTGATTTGATATATCTTTATTTTTATCTTTATCTTTAATAATAAAGAAGTTGATTTGACATAACTTTAACTTTATACATTATATAAATGAACGATTCGTTCGATTCATTCAATTCACAAAATTATCGATCGTTCCTTCCGTCCCTATGACAAGTTTTCACACAAACATGGTATGTATTTTTGATAGATAATTTTAGTTTAATCGTAAGTTGTTATATGTTATTTTTGTAGTGGAATTCTTTTAAACTGACCAAATATATATTTATATTTGTTAGGTGTTTAGCAGTCGTGAAAACTTAACGGAGTGGGTGCAAAAAACGGCATGGTCTCTTGGATACGTGGTTGTTATTAAAAGAACAAAGACAAAAGGACATGGATATGGATATATTTCAAAAATTATATTTATGTGTGATCGGGGTGGTGTATCAAGAGGTCCGGAGACGTCCACCAAAAATACAGGGTCTAGAAAAACAAATTGTCCATTCGAAATTTTTGCTTGTTACTATAAGTCAGATGATGTTTGGAGGTTAAAGGTTAAAAATGATGAACATAATCATGAACCAGCAATGTATATGGAGGGTCACCCATTTGCAAGGAGGTTAACCCCAAATGAATCAAATATGGTTGAAGAAATGAAGATAAACAATGTTCCTGCACGGGATATTCTATCGGCGCTAAAGAGACAAAATTCCAAAAATGTTTCTACTTTGAAAACAATTTATAATGAGTGTTACAAACTTCAAATGGATGAACGTGGAGATCGAAGTCAAATGCAAGTTGTCTTCGGATTTTTGCATTCAAAAGGATATATATTTAACCATCGTGTAAATGATACAACCAATGCCTTGGAAGATCTATTCTTTGTTCACCCAACATCATTGGAAATATGGTGTGCATTTCCACAGATTATGATGATGGATGCCACATACAAGACTAACAGGTACAAATATTTTTTTAATTGTTTTGTATTTATTAATAGGTGTAACATGCCTTATATGTTTGTTATACTAATTATTTTTCTTTTATTAATAGGTATAACATGCCATTTTTGGACATTGTTGGTGTTACTTCATATGTCGTTACTCTGGATCAGGTTTTGCGGTATCGGAGTATTGGTTGATTATGCCAGACACTGCTATACTCATTGCTAACAGATACGGTGTTATCGTTATTTATCTAAGCAAACAAGGTTCTTCAACGTGGTTCCCACACCGATATGGCCCGCAAGACATACCAAACCCTGCATATGTCGTTATCGCCCACATTCACCCTAACCATTATGTAATGGTTGATTTACAAGGAGCATATCCAATGTCTGATGTTTTGTCCAGGCTTCCCCGTACATACAGATCAGAACATTCGGCTGCATGGAAAACATTGTATAGTGCTCGACTAAATGTTTTCAATCCGTATAATGCACCACGCAATACACAATTGTAATTCCGATTTTATATAGTCGTTCGAATTTATAATGTCCGATTTGTAAAATGTTGTTTGAAGTTTATAATAATAATAACAGTAATAATATAAATATTAAAATATAAAAAAATATTTAAAAACTGATTTTATATAGCCGTTTGAATTTATAATGTCGTCCGAATTTTAAAAATTTATGCGAAATTTATAACAATTATAATAATAATAATAATAATATATAAATTAAAAAAGAATTAACAAATAAAAATGTCGCCCGAATTTTAAAATTTTATACGAAATTTATAACAATAATAATAATAATAATAATAATAATAATTAAAAAAGAATTAAAAACAACTAAAAAACAAAATAGGAAAAAAACAAAAAAAAAACAACAACAAAAAGACAGAAGATCAAATCAGGGGTGGGATTGAAAAAGAAGGGGATCCTTATAGAAAAACCCTAAAAATAATCTTTCCAATATCTACAACCCAAAGTCAAATATAGCACCATGAACCTTGTATTAGTAATAAATAAATGTGGTGACATATCTTTGCTTCAGAGGTGTCGATCAATGTATTGTTTGATTTAATTAACATAGAGAGTGCATGCTGTGAGACATTTACACTATATATAATTGACAAAGTATATGACATATACCTACTAATTGTGAAAATTCGCTTGGAATCCATTTACTTAACTGTAATAAAAACACACGAAAAAAATACCAAATACTGCATACACGTCACTATCTACTTCCAAATTACCAACTCTTACCATATTACACATAATATAATTAAACATTTGAAAATGTGGTAGGGTGTCTTGATTCAGTAACAGGTGAGGTATGTATTTCTTTTTGAAAATAATTACTTAACTGTAAGGTATATATTTCTTAAGTTAGAGATAAGTATGTAAAGACAAAAAAGTCGGCATGTGAATTCCTGGATAAAAATGTACATTATGTACGGATATACCTATGTTTTGAAGATTAAAAATTAAGTGCTGAATATCAAGTTTAGGAGAGGATCTCAAGGATTAAGTACACTGCGTTGTATGATAAGTTACTGTTGGCTACATCTGTCAATGAACAGCCAACATCAACCGAAAGAAACTGATCCCTTGAACATGATTAGGAGTTATTCTAAATGAGAATTTGGGAACGAACTAATACCTATTAATGCGGCTGTCATATTAAAATAAATCTAATACTATAAGGCAAGTGGTTTATATTTGACTTTCTTTGTTATTATATTAAGAGGTTTTTTTTTTGTTTATCATGATTTAAAATTGGTTTATTTCTAGACAATTTTCCGTCTATACATAGCACCTTAATTGAGAAGTCTTGGCACATCTTCTTATCATTTGATCATCAGTTCAAACATAAGTGAATTCCATTCAATAAGGTCGTCAAACATATCGAGGTTAAAAAGTCAAACCACATCATCATCAATGGAGGCTCCTGTTGGTTTCCTGGTTGTTTCTCTTCTTCTTTCTTGCTTTGCAACTACTGGCTATGGTGTTACTTTCAGTTCCCTTCAGAGAACTCTTGAAGTCACCGCTTCACCTACACAGGGCCAAGGTTTGACCACAAGTCTGAGTTTAATCTTAAAGAACACATGACACGACAGATTATGATTCCTTCATATTCAAATTCAAATTCCATTCCTTCCAAAACCCTTTTTATGAATAAATTTTTTATTGATTAAATATCATTGAATTCGGCTTTACAGCTCTCAAGGCAGGGGATGCAGATATTACAGTGACATGGGGATTCAATCGGACATTCCAAGCTGGGACAGACTCGGCCTACAAGACCGTAAAAGTGAAACTATGCTATGCACCCATCAGTCAAAAGGACCGTTCATGGAGGAAAACAGTGGACGAAATGAAAAAGAACAAGACTTGTCTGGTAAAGATTGTGGCTAAGCCATACAGTGCATCAAACAACTCCTTTACATGGACTGTAGAGAGAGATATTCCTACTGGAACATATTTTGTGAGGGCCTATGCGTTCAATGCTCACGATGAAGAGGTAGCCTTTGGCCAGACCACAAATGATAAAAAAGAGACGAATTTGTTCCAGATCCAAGCAATCACAGGTCGCCATGCGTCACTTGATATTGCATCCGTCTGCTTTTCTGCTTTTTCCATCGTCGCTTTGGCCGGTTTCTTCTACATGGAGAAGAGTAAGGGAAAGGCAGCCCAACAGAAATGAGTTTATCAACAAAACGGTATGGGGATTAATTTCTTGTTACTCGTGGCATATTTGAAGAAAAAAAAAAAGAATCCTAATTTTGTTTTAATATAGTGGTGAAGTACATGACTTATCCTGGGAGTGTGGATAAATGAAAGATGGTTGTAATAGAGATGATTTAATGATGTTTTTTTCCGTTTAAAATGAGGAGGATGTCCTTTTCGTTATTTTGAAAATATAAATTATCAAAGAGCCTCTTGCTAACATATACAATTTTATTGTTGTCTTAAATAATGATCGAGGGTCCCGTATGTACAAACCGTACACATCATCTTATGTCTGTGTCGCTTTATTTAGAAGTAAACAGGAATACACTTTTGTGAATTTCATAAATGAGACTTTGAATTAAGAATTGTACTCTCGGAGGCAAGAGAGCACAATGATCAAAGCATAAGGTATACATAACTGGGGAATGACCTATGTGCCCAACTTCATTGTTATTAGGCTACCCGGTATAGAAGGTTTTTTACGCATGAACATCTACATGGACAATCTTGTCTACACCTGAACACCGCCCCATAAGAATGTAGGTGTCTTGTGGCTTGGTGCACTTCACGGACGAAGATGATGGATTTGATTGGTGGAACAAAAATGTGACTGTTGATGTATCAGTTGGCAATAAAAAAATTATTAATTTTTAAATTTAAAACAAACTATATTTATCTATAAATACTATCACTTTTATACATTTTTCACACTACAAACACATCCATTTGTATACTCTAAAATTTTGCATCAAATTTTATGGATCAAAATCAAAATACTCCAAACACCCCCAAATAATATGTATTGTTAGATATATGCATATGTTAGCATCCTTAATTCAACAACTATTATTCACCAATCATTTATGTGCCACAAAAATACTTCTAACAACCTATATCACAACAATTTCATCATTCCTAATTCCAATCTTTTTAACAACAACATTCTCAACATTAACAATTTCAAGCATAACCATCTCAACCCCAAACTCAAGTCTTAATTTCTCAAACCCAACCTACAAACATCGACAATGACGACGGCGACGACGAAAGGGTCCAAGAAACTCAACCACCGCCTAGAAGAAGACAAAAGAAATGAAATGCTAAAAAAAGTTAGTCCGGTGGACCGAAAAAGAAGAAGCGGAGTTTTTGCGCATTGTGTTTTACACAACTTTCACGTGGAAAATGGGAAAGAGTCCCTACCAGATGTACGACGTAATCAACGAAAAATTGTGTGACATACGAACAGTTTGCACCAATATACGCAATAAAGTGGGAGAAACAATAACCGCCTCCCAACAGTTCTAGCTTACCAGCGGTGGTAGACCGTTTGGCCACCAAAAAGTGTGGCTAGTTTGTCGTAAGGGGTCCAAAATGGATCCTTAATTCGAAATCGCTTTCGGAATTGACCACTAAGTCCAACAAAAGGCCGAGAACATCCTATTGGAAATAAGTATCCAATGTCATAACAAAATTTGTATAACTTTGGGAATAATAAGAAATTCTTATTGGGTTACCCTCAAGAGCTAAAATTGCTAAAATGGGTTTGGGAGATTGAGATAATTACTTAATTGATTTATTATAGGTTAATAAATTAATTAGAAACTAATTAGAATTGACTAAGAATTAATTTGAATTAATTTGAATTAACTAAAATTAATCAAAGGGAACATTCTAGAACCCCTAAAGGGTATGGACGGTTTTGGGGAGTCTTGGAGGCTTCCAGAATCAATCCAGATAGCAGATAAGGAAAGGATTTTAATTTGTATTAAATCTGATTATTTAATTTATTCAAATCTGTTTTGTCTACAAGTTACCTCAGCTATAAATAGACCCTTAAAGCCTTGAGAGTTTCGTTCCTAAATCTTCTAAGAGTGAGATTCCATTCTCATTGTCCTCTCTCCTTCTCCTAAATATTGTAGGGTTTTAGTCTTTTGGGCGTGACCATTAGATGCATTATACTTTGGGTGCTAGTCCTTCCAAGTGATTGTAAGGAGTTCAAGATCTACAAGTGGTCAAGGGAAAATACGATTTTGTCCTAAAGGTTAGTAATCATTTCCCTTTTGATAGTTCATATTCATGTTTTAAAAGTATGTTGTTATAATAGTAAGATTAGATCCTAGGGTGCATGTACATTTAGGATATTTTAGAAATTTTCAACTACCTTAATCTAATGTATAGTTGCATAGAAAACCCAACAGTGGTATCAGAGCCTTAAGTTTTTATTATATTCAAAAGATTTAAAACTGGAAAACTTTCGCAAGAGAAACCTGTTATCGCAGGACGTGGCGTGCCTTGTCGAGTTTTGTGTGGTTTTGGATTTAAGCAATATTTTCAAATTTAGGGTTTATCTTTAGTTTTAATTATTGTATTAATTTGTTTAAAATTGATTAATAACACTAGGAAGATAAATATGCATAGTTGATTTGAATTTATTGATAACAATTTAAAAAAATAATTAATTAAAAGTTAATTAAAGATATGTTATATAAATTATATAATTTTAAATTGTTTAAAATTCACCCCTCATATAATTATAAAAGTTTATAAAAAATATGAAATTTATATATGTAATTACCTTACAATATGTAAAAGAAAATTTAAATAGGCCTCACTCATAAAATCATACTATAAGAGATGTATAAGGAAACGATCTATAATATAAACGTTAAATGAGTATCTTTTTCACTCACTGCTTCTTAGTATGGTGGGTTGTCCTTAGCCGAAAGGGATCGATAGGATGATGTCTCGTTAAAACTATAACAAGTATAAGTACTAAAAACAAAATTCTCGTTCATAGTTATTTTAGGAAAATGTGAATAGTTGTTAATCCATGATTAACGCACATTGCTAGTTCATGTCAAGTGATCCTTAGACAATTTGAGGCAATTAAGATTCCGAGATGATTGAAGATCTGAAGTTATTACCTTCTGAAGTGATAGATATTCTGAGATTGAAGAATATGGAATGATCTGAGATTAGTATTGTTTTGTCAGTTTGTATTTTGTCTTATTTAATGTTATACATGTAGGTGACAAGGTCAACCACAATGATATGTCAGTAGGTTGATATGCAGTTTACTCTTAGTACAAGTATCCTTTTGTGATTGGTTCTAGGTTAGTATAAATAGGACCATCACCCCATGTAATTCCATACATTTTACACACCCTTTTGAATCATCAGTCAAAGTATCATTCAGTCAACCATTCGTTTTGTTCTTATTCCTGTTCATACTTTTAATATTATTATCTAATATCTTGTTTACTTTGTTGTTCTATCTCTTCAAAGCTTGACTAGTATATTCCAGACTCGACTGGAAAAGATTATTTGCCTCCATTGTTGTGTTTAACTCAAGGTTTACGTTATTGAACCTTGTCCTAGATATCTTTGGATATCTACTGTTCTTACAATTGGTATCATAGCCAAAAATGGTTGTCCTTTGAATCCACACGATTAGATTATAGTTGGTTGAGATTACCTTGATGTCTCAATCATTTCTGTTTCGGGATATAAGTTCTATGTACCACTTTTTCTCGAAATACACACGACAATGACTACTCTTAATCAATCTCAATAATAAATGTATTCAATGCAAATCGCAAACAGCGTGGGTTGCCCCTCTAGAGCCCCATTGTTGGTTGTGGAAGACTATGGTCATTGGAAAGTTAGAATGGAGAGATTATTGGTTGGAAAAGAAAAGGGTGAAGAAATATGGAGATTTGTGGCTGAACGTCCTCATGTCTCGGATAGGAAGATGGTTAGAGACATTGCAGCTACGCTTATGGTTCAAGAAGAACTCAGACTTACACCTCTAACAGCCAATGACGTCGAGAAACTCCATGTTGATCAAATTGATTTTTTTGAAATGGTGTTTGGTGTTCCACCATCTCTCTTTGAGCATATCATGTTGTGCAAATCAGCCAATTAGATATGGGACACTCTTTAAGATTTGTTTGAAGGCTCAGAAAACATGAAAGACAAGCGTCTGACCTCAGTGGTGAATGATTTTGACATATTCACCACAACACCTAGAGAATATGTAGCTTATGCTTTAAATCGGTACAGGATCGTGGTGAACAACATGACGGCGCAAGTTTTTTTCCAAACTCCACTTGATTACAACCTGAAGTTCATCAATAGCCTCGGAAAGGGATGAGGTAACATCAAGTCTTGTCTTCAGAGTAATGGATCTCTAAAGAAATTAAAGTTGTATCAACTCTTTTACGAACTGTAAGGTCATGAGTCCAATGTGGCTCAAACCTTAAGAGAACTCTCTTGTGGTCCTCGTGCTCTTTCCAGTTCTGTAAACCCACCTACTCCAAACCCTATTGTTTCAGACCTATTTAAATTTGTTCCACTTATTCCCCCTCCTTTGTTTGTAGAAAACTTTGACCCAGAAGTTGTAGATGTCGAACTTCGTTTCTAACAAGTGTTCGCTTTGATGTCCATGTCTTAAATGTGACTCGATCATTTGGAGCATTCTCATGGAGCATCTGGATCAGTTCTCATGGAGCATTTGGAGCACTTAGATCTCAATGGAGCACTTGATGTTCTTGGAGAAAGTGACGAAGTAACTGATCATCTGAGATGGCTTTGGATCATCATAAAAATGAATAGATCAAGTGACAAAGGAACGGATCTTCCAAAAGGAGGTTTGGAGCAACTTGGAATGATTTGGAGCAACTTGGAGTGGCTTGGAGAAACATGGAGCAACTTGGAGCACTTGGAGCAACATGGAGTACTTGGAGTAACATGGAGCACTTAGAGCAACATGGAGCAACTTGGAGCACTTGGAGCACTTAGAGCAACATGGAACATCATGGTGTGCCATGTTAAAGGAAGTTGTGCCATCCTTGGGGATGTTGCACCAAATCATAGCATGATGTGTCATCATGTCTGAAGTTGCACCAAGGTGATGTTGAGCCAAGGAGATGTTGAGCCATGAACATGATGTTGCTCCATCAAGAAGGGAAGTTGCACCATGGAGGATATGTTGCGCCATCATGGACCATCTTGGTACATGATGTGCCATCTTGATTCCTTTGTTGTGCCATATTGATCCATGTTTTCTT